AGTGTCTACAGACCAAAAATGAAGGACTTTTATTTTTTTGATTGTGGCCACAAATTTTCGATTTTGCTCGATATTCACTGGACAGTCGCTCTTAATAAACGAAATAAACAGAACATTATACAAAGCAGTTTTCAGCTTAGTTTTTGTCCTTGCGTTCGTTTGTTTCCCTATAATTGCTATTCATAAATCGGAAGGCATAACAACACACACAACTTCAAAACAATCATGGAGGTGGTTTTATGCTCAAAAAATATATACAACATTGCAGTTAATCTTGTAAAATCTAAGACCTGATGAAGGCAAAGGGTTTTTGGAGATGAGATTTTGAATTACAATGTAAACTACGCAATATGAAGCGAAGATTCTAGAAAATATATTCTAGTCAAAAACGTAAACAACCTTTGCAAGATTCGCGTTAGTAGCATACTGATGACAGCTGAAATTTACCAAAAATATTTTTTTGAATATAGAATTATGGCAATTGGCCAAATAACGTTATATTTGAAAATGTCATCATCATACGGAATTTTTATTCGAAATTAACCGAGCTTATACCACACGAGCAGTCATTTGAACCTTTTTTTTCGTAGGCTCTTTCATCAGAACTGCGCATGCGTTTGGATTCTGTTCCGGTGACCTAAGTATTAAGAGGTTCCAAATGTACTCCGAACACATGGAGGAGCCGGATTTACGTGATAAGAAGTATAACCAATCAAGAGATGAGGAAATGCCCCTTCTTACATAAGACTTTTTTGGGGGTTGGAAAAGTGTTATTGATGTAGTGAATTTTCAAGTTATTCAATTTCAATTGTTTTTAGGGAATACTATTACACTTTGCCAGAGAATTATGTATTTCGCTCGTGAAGGAGAAAAAAAACTAAAAAAAAACTTGTGATACCAGTTTATTACGTCGATTATTATCTTCTTGTTCTATATATTTTCTTCCCATGGATTTTGTTGATAAAAAAAACAAAACAAAACATAACGGTGTGCGTACTTGTGGATATTCAAAGTTCTCTAATTTCTACATTTGGAGCGTCAGTTTATGGAGTCTTTCGGCGAACGGTTTGACACTTTAAATTTTACTTTTTAATTGGAGGGAGATCAGATACTTTATACCAAATTAGTTACAAGGGCGTTCTTTATTTAACGAGGGTATAACACGAAATAGTGCAGAACACTAATAAACTCGTGGCACTAAATATAACTATTTTCATAGCAATTAATAAGCTTCCATTCCTTTCACGGATATGTATATCAATTTACATACTTTCGGGACTCCCCCCATCACTGATCACGGCCTCATAATTGTTTGCATTTTATAACTCTACTAGTAAACATTTCCCAAATACCTGATTGAATCACCAAGAAATAAATCAGGATCTTCGTGAATGGCTTTACTGCAGTGAATTCTGAGAAAGGCAATAAAAACATCATATTAGACATGCAATTCAAACCTCGGTTGCATATAAGCTACATATAGTGTGGCTCACTCTGTTCTTAAAAATTCGAAATTCAAAATTTCTCAGAAATATTAATATTCAAAATTAAAGAGAATGCGCATCATTTGAATCAACGAACAATGAAGCGACTATCGCTGGCGTAACTTAAAAACATTGTAACGCAACAACCAGGAAAAAAGAGTCTGTGTTTAAGGATGCAACTCTGTAATTCTATCTTATCCACTTACATATAACCCTTATTTACTATAACAGACCCAAACATTGTTGCAGTAGCCCGAACCGACAAAGGAAACGTATATTAATATCTCTCTTCGTGTTTAAGAACAAACGAACATAAAAGTCTTGACCGTATGTCAAGCCTTTGAGTTTAAACCAAGCATGACTTAATGCTAAATTACCAGTAAAATTAACTCTTCCTTTGTATTTTGGTCCCATTTCATTATTAAAATATATCTTCCGATTGATGATATCCACATTTATTAGTTGTGGGTCAGCTATGTTTCCTTTGAGAATACCAAACGTTGCTGAGATTATCCTCTTTCCACAGGTATTGTTCCACATAAATTCACTGTCTCCTTCACTAAGTTCTACGTTTCTTGGTCCACTTATGCAACTGCAATTCACAAAAAAAAAGTAAAACAATACAATAGCTTTAAAATATGTCGGTCAGTAGAAGTAAATGACCCTTATATTGGAAGCTCGTGAACTAGGAAACTAAGAGAAGGGTTTATTCAATTTATAAGAAAATGCTAATTTAACGATTTTTTTGGGGGAGGGAGAGGGGGTGGGGAGAAAATACTGGCAAACTAAACGAAAGATCTAGTGGTAAGCGAACGTGTAATTTATCACCAATCATTCTCTTGGTAATTCATTAGAATCATGTTGTGCATGTAAATTACAAATGAGGGGTTGACAGAATTAAGTGCACAGTCTCGTAAAAGGTCTGAGACCCCATCACTGTCATAGCGGAGCTCCCATACTTAGGAAAAAATGGTAAACCATCGAGTTGATTTTTCATGGCTTGGCTGACGTCAATTCCGTCCGTACGTCCGTCCGTTTACACAAGACAAGAATTTTTATTTACAAATCAAAGAATTTCTCTCAAAACTTTTTATATTTCTATAGATAAGCTTAATTGATTTTAATGCTGGATGAGATATAATCCGGAGAGCAAATATTACAACAAATATTCGGCCTTTATTTAGCATTTAATCTTTAACAATTCGGTTGTTTTTAACCAACTATCGCATGTTTTACGTTCAAGAAAAATGCTGCTTTGTTCGCCTCCTATCTCGGGCTCCCATCGGTAAACAAAAGAAGACTTTCATGCAAAAATTTTATATCTTTCTATCGATAATGTATTTGAATGTTGAATGAAATATAAAATTGCACCAAATATTTAGCTGTTCAGTATTTTGAGCTAGTATGATTATACAAATTATCTGGAATTTGTGTTGTTGAACGAAGTTCTTTTTTTAATCAATCAATCAATCAATCAACCAATCAACCAATCAATCAATCAATCGATCAACCAATCAAATAATAAATAAAATAAAATAAATAAAGACCTTGTCTTTCACTTTAAGAAGCTACTAAATATTCAAAAACATCTACAAATGCCAATTTACTGACAACGAACTCGGTTGAAGTTTCTTTACAAACCAATTTGGTAAGAAGGTGGAAGAAAACCCATCCTCTATCCGTACAGCTAGAAGGTAGAGACAGAAATGATCCAATTCGAGAACGTGTTCTCTTAAAAGAGGTACTGAAACAGTTGTTCYCATTCCCTCTCGGTGASTTGAAGTTYCTCGGCAAATCTTATGCACGYCAATAATCTTYCCATGTTATACTTKGTGTTGGCTTGAGCAGAMATAAGTGTGAGAGCTTCTACTCTGTTCTTAGGAGTAATATCTCGATTGAATTCTCGAACCATGGTAGACCAGTTGATATTGAAATGCATCTTGCGAGCTAAGGATCTTAGTATCTTGAAATAGACTCTATTCAATACTGAGTACAAAGTCCCCATGGTTAGAACTACACAAAGGTTAGAACGACAATGATGAGTTTTAAAAGACTTTAATGCTATATAAGATAGAAATGACATACATATTCATCATTATACTAAAYATTTATCTTACATAATCGATATCCATAGGTTTTACTTCTTTCCTTAAAAACTCTTCTGGACAGTGTATTGGAACTACGTGAGTTTTGACTTCGTTGACTTTGTCAAACAGAATGAGCTTTTTCAACAGTACTGAGTTCGTTATCAAAATGTAGAAGTTGACAGCGTAGTAGATAGTAGATAGGTTTTCCAGTAGCAATGAGGCGGAATATTCATCATGTATCATAGCAAGGACCTGTCTCAAAACTTCTTCTGCTTGGACAAAGTCCTTGGCTGGATCATAAAATAAGTTCCAAGATTCTTCTTCGGTTAACATGTTGTATTTGGCTTGGATGGTTCACTTCACAACCATAACACTGTCTCTGTCTTTCGGTATAGATGGGATCCACGCATTCATCAGCGTACACCAAGTGGAATATGCTGGAAATCAAAAAGTACAAGCGATTTCTTTCAAACATATCGACTTCATYGACGCGAATACTTGCCATCTTGCTTGTTTTACTTGGTTGAGTTTTGGAGTTAAAAATTCAAATTCCGCGCGCTCTATAAATTGGATTGACAAACAAAAGACTTGCCCCAACTGGTTTAACAAGACAAAACACTCTGTTCGTCATTTTATGGTAATGGTTTAATAAACAATTGATGTACTAGTCCTTTTATTGATGAATAATTAATGTAACTTTTCCTGCTCGTCCTCCCCATCATTTGCCCAACTTGCCTAACAATAAACTCATGAAGTCACTCGGTCGTCATGGAAAACTAAAACGATACCTACTCGTCATTCCATGCTAATATTTGATGAATAATTATTTTCGTTTCATTTAACCATATTTCACACCTAGAGTTTACATAACAGTTCTACATTTTTACAATAAAGGTTTACAAGACAATAATTTTATACAATGAAGAAATAGAAAACGCGCGCGCGTGCTGTGTCCTGTCATAAAGCACGCGAGGGTTGGCAGAACACAAGAGAAGTGTTAGGAGAAGCACAACGCGTAGCGGAGTGCTTCTGGACACATCTCGAGTGTTCTGCCAATCGCCAAGTGCTTTATGACTGCACACAGCACAGCAAGCAAGTTTTTTATTTCTTTTATAAAATACAAATTACAATAATAGATAGTAATGACGCAGCGGAAAGTGCGCGCGTGCAATGTGCTCTCATAAAGCACGCGCTCCAAACCAATCAGAACGCGATATTCATAACAGTTATTTTATAATTACATATATATATATATACATATAGCTCAGTTGGTAAGAGCGTCGGTCTGTTGTGCGGGAGGTTGTGGTTCGAGTCCCATTAATATATTAGCAAGATTATTAAAACTATCATTGTTGTCACTTTTGTTATTATTGTATTTACAAAGATTCAGCTATAGTAATAAATTGAATAGTAAACTCGGGGTGGCAGACACCTCAAGAAGATGTTCCCATCATTTGCCCATCACTGGCCCGTCACTTGCCCGTCCAAAGCGCGGCCCGTGCGTCTACCAATAGTCTTATGACGTCAATTGGTCGTCATGGCAACCTCAAACAATACCTCCCCGTCATTTTATGTTAATGGTTTAATAAACATTTGATGTGCTCGTCCTTTTATTGATGAATAATTCCTTATGCCCGTCAAAAATCCGGATCGTAACTGGAATATCTGTAAACCATATRGTRACCATTTCCTTTGAAGTATGCGCGCATATCTCGTGTACATTAGTTTTGCGTATCCAGTAATGCRAGCTCGAAAATCAATATCRAAATAGCTTTTGTACGGTTATCGACCCTKACGCTATATAACTATCTAACGATTAATATACGTTGTTTCTCTATCGACCACTATCTTTTGAAGCAAACAGGAGCGCCCCAAAAGTAAACGGCAAAAATGACCACAATATATGTTTTTTTTATTTATTATGTCAATGTTTTGTGCTAAAAAATGCTTACAATTTATTATTACCATTTATATTTATCTACAAATATTTAAAAATCTAAAAATGATAATATCTGAAAACCGGCGTGTTAATTAAAAACACTGTGCGCATATTTGCCAGGGAAATACAATTCATGCATATGTGTGTAACATGGTTTAAGACCCATTAATTATAATAATAACGACTTTATTTAAAGAGGGTAATAC